TTGAGGGTTTGCTTTGTTTTTATGTGTTATGCATTGTTGTCCTTGTTTTTACGTATTTTATGTACTCTTATAAAGTGTACTCTGTTCCATGTACAGACTACATTTCGGTAGTCATCATCACACCTGCCCAGGGAGTACAGTTAAAAATGAGCCAAGCTGGCAAACTGGAACATTTACAGAAAGGTTTATAAATGTGCATTATCCCTGTAATCTTAAACTGTACAAATAAATTCAGAAAAATCACAATAAAAAACACAATTTTGGGAAAAATAAATCTGAATTTGGCAAAATCTAAAACAGATTTAACAGGGCCTTATGACTAACACATGAACCACAGGCAGCACAAAAAGAAACGGAGCTTCAGGGTGAAAAGAAAAACACATTATTCATGCACTCCTACAAAACTCCTAAGACCGAGCGTCAGAGCTGAAAAGGAGGCTGAAACAAAATCAGTGCAGAAACTAATTATCTCTGTAACTGAAGTCTGGAAAATAAATGATATTTAAGTAAACACTGACTCATCTGCATAAAAACTACAAAAAAAAATTATAGGCGTAATTATTTGAATTATATTTACAATAATTATACTTGCAATTATCCAAAACATATGAATACTTAAAGGATTGATCTGAAATGCAGAGCCTCCTGTAGTGTATGTTGATCAGGTGAGATGCATAAATTATCTACAGTTTGGAGTTTGGGTAAAATACTGCAGATATAACAGATGCCTGACCTTCCACTGTCTCATCACTTGAAACAACACATTTTGTTTAAGCTGCTGAACTCTTTGCTCCCTTTCAATACTTCCTATCACTTCCACCAATAAGCCTTATCCATCACCTAGTCAGCAAAGCCATCCAAACTCTCATTGTCTATAGGAGCGCTGGGAAACTGTGCGTGGTAGCACTAATCTATAGGTCACATTCCTAAAGGGGGGATGTTTGTTCAACCCCTTGTGTCCCTTCTACTCATAAAACTAACATGAAGATGCAGAGGAACCGAGAGCGGGCAGGAAGTGGGTACATTGATAGTGATCTCTGAGAGAGCCTCTGTCATCAGCTCCTAATAGCGTTTTACCGCAACAGCCAGCCATCACTTTGTTAATTGAGAGGCCCGTCAAGGCTGGCAGACACTGTGTGAGTGAAAACAAACACAAACGTTAAGCTTCAAGCATTTTTGCAAAAATGTTTGTGTTGCAAGAACATTTCCCTAGAAGGGAGCCAAATACCCAAAACAGAAACCAGGGTTCCCATAAAAAAAAGATCAGTACACTTGCTGGCCTTAGTGTCAAATTGAGAAAGATTTGGAGAACAGAAACAGTCAATAAGAGGCCTCCTTCCTTTTCTGTGGTGTCACCATGCTGACCACTGTTAAACTAGACACTGGGGATTTCTTATGGGAATTTTATGAAAGCAAATTGCCAAGTGTGTTAACATATGTAGAGTTTGAATCATCATACATTAACTTTAGGCTCCTCTCTTATGGCACCGTGCCAGCAACTCTTTCATCTTGGTGTCTGCCTCCTCTTGTAGACTGAGTGTGAAGACCAGGAAAGGTCAACGCTAAGGTGACTTTTGCCCCTTTCACACTTGCACTGCAAACCTGAAATTATCTAGCCACTACCCAGAGGAGCTGTATGTGAGAACGTAAATGTCCAAATCAGTTGGACTTTACCCTGCCAGCTCCATAGTACTAAGCCTGTGTGATGTCCAATTGAGCCCATGTACGGAGAATTCACTATGAGTGAGACCGTGTGAATGACTCGTGATTCGGGAACTTCTGTTAATAAGGTCCGAAGCCGAAATCGTCAGACAAATTCAAGGAATAGCAAAAGACTCTGCTATTTATGCCCAAACTACAAACCGGCTTAGTGACCACGTCGTAATCTGCATCATGTCCTGCCTCCTGCACGTTCTTCCCAGGTGCCACCCTTTGCCTAAACTATCCACCCATCCATTTTCATCTGCTTATCTGGGGCTGGATCGCAGGGGCAGGAGGCCAAGCAAAGCACCCCAGACATCCCCACCCCTCAGCAACGCTTTCCAGCTTCTCCTGGAGGACCCCGAGACGTCCCCAGGCCAGATGAGCTATGTAATCCCACCAGTGTGTTCTGGGTCTACCCTGGGGCCTTCTACCAGTGGGACATGCCCGAAACACCCAAGAGGCATCCTGATCAGATGCGCAAACCACCTCAACTGACCCCTTCGACACAAAGGAGCAGCTGCCCTACTCCAAGCTCCTTACGCTATCTCGAAGGCTGAGCCCAGCCACCCAAAGGAGGAAACTCATTTGGGCCACTTGTATCTACGACCTCATTCTTTTGGTCCCTACCCAGAACTCATGATCATAGGTGAGGGTTGGGACATAGAGGGACCAGTAAAACTCCCTTGCTTGAGGCAGTAACTCTCAACCTGAAGGGAGCAATCCACAGGTTTCCAGCAGAGAACCATGGCCTCAGATTCAGAGGTGCTGACTCTCATCCCCACCACTTCACACTCGGCTGCAAACCTGCATGCTGGAGGTCACCAAACTGCGTATTTACAGTAAGCAAGAACGGTTCTTGACACAGACAATTTCCTGTTGTGTGCTACATGTGTTAAAGGGAAACTTAGGGTAGTGTCTTGACCTGATTCTCCAGACATTGTCTGGACTTCATGTGAGAAAACAGCTCTAGGCTCCTCTCTTTGGGCACCTTCTGGCTCTTCTTGTAGTCTGAGTCAGAAGAGGTCAAAGCTCAGGTGGCCTTCATCTCATGATCGGAGTGACTGAGTAACCTTCATGATCCCAAAAACTTACTTTAGGAAAAACATGAGATGTTTAGAGGCATCCGTCAAAAAGAGAAAAGAACTGACCTATGAATGTGAAGCAGTGATAAAAACAAAGACAATGACTGGAGAGGGAGTGGGTCTTGCAGAGGCGTGATTGCGTCACCCACCATCCTGTACCCTTTCCAAGTGACAGGTCTCTCCCTAAAGGGCAAGTCCCTCAGGAGTGCAACTTGCTAAATGCCTCCCCATTAATGTGGCTCTTGGACATTGTGACCTTCTCTAACCATCTGCTATTGGTCCTGAGGGAGGCGGCTGCATGACGTTGGCTTGCAGCCACTGATTTCTGGACACACTTCACAAGATACAAGAGTCATTCGCTACGGTCTCTCAGACTGGGTGTCCGTTTCTCAGCCCTTATTCTTACTTCATCTTGGTCTCCAATGCTCTGCCTGTCTTTCTTCACATCTCTTGCCTTACTCTCACAACATATTTCATTTTTTAATCCCAGTTTTACAGACACTGCCACAGCCTTTCAGTCTATGAGGGTATCAAGCCCAGTGGAAAACTACCACCCAAGAGGAGGATTTCATCTCAACCTACTCTTACCCTCACTGTAGAAAAGGCTGTTCTACACTTGAATAGTCCTCAGACCTAATTTTAGAAAAGGACTTCACTGAAATGCAAGGCAAAGTTCAATCCATATAGCGTGGGTTGAAACTGCGCTTTTGAGAGCTCTCAATAAGGTGTTGTCTGACCTATATTCCTTCCTTCATGTTTTTTTTTTCTCCTCTCTCTCCTTCTCCTATATTTTGGTGCCAAACTTTGCAGAGTGGCGGGACAGCTGCAGGCTCTCACATTCTCCACTCCTTCTCTTCATTCCCCTCATCCTCCTCCCTTCGTCTTCCTCTGTTCACATCCTTATCCTCCTCCTGTCCTGGGCTTCAGGCTCGGGGCCCAGTCAGCTCTTTTCCTCTCTTCTTACACCCGGGCTGCGAAATCTGCCCTGATTGCTTCCTCTTCCCCTGTTTTATCTCCTCAGGATGAAACCTTCCCAAACTATAAAACATCTAGAGGTAATTCATATCACTGTGAAACTCAGACGACGGCCACACGGAGAGAACACTTAACCTACGATCAGAGGCGATGCATCTACGAATCCACAGCTATGAACTTTTTTTATGCTTTCAAATCCTCTCAAAAAGCTGTGAGAACAGGATGTCTGCCCGCAGTCATTAAAAGGAAGCGTGCAATAAATCAGCTATCCATCTGAGCCATACCTGTCAACCCAACCAAAACCACATGGCTGCCTTCGAGCAGAAGAGGCCTCCCATTGAACTGGAAAACCAGTAATGACAGACAAAAATATATGAGCAGAGACAATTTGGACAGGGGCTAAAATAAGAAAAGCTGAGGTAACATGATATCAGGGTGAGCAGAATCTGCAGAGGGGGACTGAATCATTATTTCGTCAGGCAGTACTATTATATCTGCGACACCTTACTGCCTAATTTTATTTAAGTTGGACATTTTTTAAAGCAGATCTGTGACTGTGGAGTAGCAGCAAGCCAAAGTCGGAAAAAGTGGCTACTTTTCCTATTTATTTGTTTTAGAAATTGAGCACAAATGCCATTTTCTAAGGGTTCAAACCAATTAAATTCCCCATGAATAAGTCATAGAGCAATTATGAAGTTAGCATAACACTCAGCTCTTGTATTTGTAGACCTACTGGGTAGTGTGCAGCAGAGAGCTGCGCCCTCTGTAGCAGCACCAGCAGCATTCCTTCATACATTTGCATGTAGCTTGGCAACCGAAGGGGTGCCCCACTACCCTACATCCTTGTGAAAAAGGACCCCCCAAACTACCCCGTGGACCTCCAGAACACCACTGCATTCACATCCAGAAAAGGCATACTGCCTTTGGGGGAAAGTCTTAAAACCTTAGCACACATTCATGTTTGTTCCGCTGCCGATGCTCCTTGCCAGGCTGTTGGCTAAGACTGTGGAAATTACACTGTGTAAAGCTATGAGACGATTCGAAAAGGGGGATTTTTAGGGTCATTATTAAGGGATTTGCAAAGAAAATTATCATTTGTCCAAAGCAATTTGGAAGAATGCAAACTGAGTGGTGAGCGAGAAATGTTGTGGCTTACAGCTGTTTTTGCTCAAACCATGTTGCTAGGCATTTTATTCTTTTATGTGTGTGTGTGTGTGCATGTTGGAGTGTTGAATTTACCATGTCAAGCTCTTGGGAGACTCGTCTTTTGCGGAGCTCTTCCATGCGGTCACTGACGTCACTGAAGCAGGTGTTGTAGTACTCAGAGTACTCCTGAGCAAGGTCATCTATGTTGCCCAGAGAACCATCCTGGAGAGAGGAAGAGAAGGAATGGTTAAACTGGGGAACTATTGACATCCCGAGAAAGGAAAGCTGATGATCTAATTCTACAGGAAAATTATCTGATTTTTCAGATTTGCAAAATTTAAAACGTTTGTTATTCCATGAATCACTTAAAAACTACAACCTTTCACTCTTTCATGCAGCTTCTATCACTTTACAACATCCCTCCAGCGCTTCAGGGAAGGAAAAAGCCCGATCAAGTTAGTACACTGTGTGACAAGCACACTCCCCTCCATCTTCTCCAGTTACAGCACAGCACAGCTTTTTAAAACCACTGTCACACACACTTACAATTAGTGGTGTATAAAAGGTACCTACAGGCGTTCATTTGGGTAAACCTGGCATGGCTTGAGGGTGGCACAGGGATACAAACATAATCACTCATCAACACACATGCACAGAGACATGAGTTGTACACATTCACCAATGTGCTCACACACTCTATCCAAACACAAAAACCTAAAAATACCCCTCAGTAAAAGGTCTGTATGTTTTCGCCTTTTACTCTTATCAAGTCCCGCTCAGCATCTTTGGCCAACCGCTGTTTGATCCTGAGTTTTGTCTTTATCGAGGCTCATATCAAGGATGCCCTTTACCTCCTCAGTCATTCACCAAACTCCAAACCAAAACACAGTCTTCCGGCTAGCTGTGGTTTAGATCAGCACAGTTCCTGTCTTTGTGTGGAAGTCATGTGTTTAGGATTGAGGGAGGAAGCTGTGCTCCAAACAGTGAAGACCTTACCTAACAGAACACTGAAGACTGGCCTCCAGGTTACTTTTGGAAACAGGGACAGTCAGCGAATATAAACTGTCAACACAAGAAGGGGCCTGAATCATGAAGTCAGCTGGGGCATGTTGCTTTTACATCAGTTGACGTTTAAGCTTTGGAATACATAGAGCTGAAGAGCAGCGTGAAAATGAAAAGCACTCACTCTGTAGTTAAACCTGGGGATGGGGACCAAAACTTCCCCAAAAGTACATTGCACAATGACCAATAAAACAAACAAACAGGAAAGAGACTGCCTAACTGAAAGAACCTCGGTTGACTGAGGGGTCTCCGACTGATGATTCGAATCTAGCTTTCAGGGCGCAGCCTTAGAATTCAGACTGACTCATAAACAAATGGTCATTTATCAGCTAACGGGTCAGTCTCAATCAGACCAGAGACATTTAGAAAGAAATATTTATTCCTTGAATTCAGCCCTTAGGAAGAGCCATCTCTGTTGCACTATGTGGGAGAGAAGACCGCTCATCTCTCGCTTTGGTAAAAATGTAGGCTGTTCTGGCAGCGCTGGCAAACTGCTGAATATTCATCAGTGTTGATCTAATCTGTGCCAGGCAGACAGCTAGCATTGAGTCACTGTGCAGGGTCCGAACAGTCTCTCTCAGTCTCTGTCTTTCTCAACCGGACTCCCTATCCGAGTGCCAGGCCACAAATGAATGGATCACTGTGAGTATGAGAGAGTGAGTGTACCGCACACCCACACACACGGTACACGCACGCACATGGGCATAAGGCCTCTGTGAACACACATTAGCATGCACACACATGCACGCAGGAGATTTCAACAACATCGGACCAAAACAAACTGAGGCAGACTGATCGTACACAACACCGGCTCAGTGGATGGAGTTACGAAAGGGCACTGAACGCAACGTCGCTGACAGACACACATGTTCTGTCTCAAAAGTCCAGTTTGTCTGGCTGTGATCCGTCCTCCCACTCTCATTACTTGAGAAATTCTGTTTCTGGCCGGACATATGGTTCGAGATGACTGAGATTCCCGGTGGGAGCACTCCCTGTGCACACACATGCTTTCCCCTTCATTCCTCACATTGACTGAAAGCACGCTCTCATTACAGAACACCAAGATGTTCTAATCACCATAAACACGCCACCATTGTGCTCATCTATTCCAGACGATAAGAAAGAGCTCCGTCTTGAGGTTGCACCAACTCCTGATTGACAGAGGGCCTCTGGAGTTGATGTTAAAGATTAGTGGGGTTGTAGAAGCAGAATTAAATAGTCAGGCTTTGCCATTTTTCTGGCCCCACTCCCACAGGAACACTGTATGTGAACCTCAACTGTGGACAGGTAAGGCTGCACGTGATTTGCCGATGTGTGTCAGCATGCGTGCAACACTCGTGTGTGTACGCAGATAACTGGGATTCCTCCAATTCTCCAGTGGCATGAGCTCATAGGGGTCCAACACAGCTGACCCTCACACCCCACCTCCACCACCACCTTGTAAAGTGATACCGCATACGCTCGGTTGTGTATGTTCACTACAAGACAGCATGTGAAAACAAGTGTAGAGAGCACCTTTGGGGGAATCGAAGCGACTTAGAGAACAAGTTAACAACTATTTTCTCAGGGTGTTAGATTCACAAAATGTGTCAGCAGATGAGCGAAAGTTTAATCCACATTTTAGAGAGAATCTGTCAACGTGGGAGTGTAGGTGGAAGAGCAAAGAGTGATCCGACAGTGGTCCACACATCCATTTTGGATATGCTGGCAGAAAGGGGTGGGGGTGGAGGCTGGACAAGGGATGATTTGTGGGATACTGACTGGGGCAGCTGTGGGGTGAGAGGAGGATAAAACATCTGGGAAGAAAGAAATCTGCATCTATAAGAGAGATTCTACGGATGAGTATAAAATCCCCCAGAGCTCATCTGACCTAAAAGGCACGCAGGCCTCCCTGTGTTAGCACATCAAGTTAAGTAATAGTCCTTAAAACATTGCTCACTCCAAAAATATCCTCTAAAAACCACTTTAGAAACGAATTAACCACAATAATAAACACATCTACTTTCATGGAGGTATGTTTGAAATGAAGGCTAATACTGGTTCAGCTGATGTAACCACTTCTCCACCCTTGGATGTGAGGGAGGCCAACTCCCAGTTTTGGCTCAAACAATAGCAACAATAGTCATACAAGAAAAAGCAACACCCAAGCAAAAATGTGAGTGTGTATGTGTGCGTGTATTTACAGTACAAAAAGTGCGTGTGTCATTTACTGTTCAAGCCCAAGATAGCGTCTGCTCGATGGCGATGGCTACTCCCAACGTGCAGCTGAAATCTGTCGACAAAACTGTTGCACGTCACTTCTGTTCCAAGAGTTTTCGCAACACAAAACAGAGAAAAGCCTCTAGGAAATGTTACGGGACACTGCAGCTGAACAAACTTGTAAGAAGTTATAGTGTGAATTAGTGGCTGCCATGTTGATCGACCATCAAGACGCAAATTACTGGCGTTGCACCACAGTGGATAAATATTTCAGCAATGTGTGATGTGATTGCTACTAAGCCATAACCAAGTGATTTACACAATATTCATTCAGGATTGCATCGGAGGAATGGGGATGATTAGCATCCGTGCCAGGATTCCATGATATAAATATAGTTTATCCCCTGTCAAATCAAATATCCTCAGATTTAGTGCTGGAATATAAATATATAAATGCTCACAATAGGCGGCACACATGAGAATGCAAACAGCATGAAGACCCAGTAGCCTCCAATCGCTTAACCAATTAGCAACGGCATTCCTGGCATTCCTACAACCACAGAAGTTCGTCTCAGACATTCAGTTAATCAGTATAGTCAGGGCCGCTTCAATGTACTGTGTTAAAACCTCTGCTTTTCATGTTTCCATGCTATATATGTAGAATTAATAATCCCTAAGAGTCTACCATTCAAACTACTTGGCCTGCGTTGTAGCCCTTCTCACAAATGGACATCATTTCCAGCACTTCATGATGCAATGAAATGACACACCACTGTTCATTTTGTAACGTTTCACAGAATTAATACTCTGACAATGAGCTGCTCTTTTCTATTATTCTAGATAAACACACTGCCAAGAACGAGCAGTCCACAGCCGAAGTGACAATTTCCCCAAGACGGAGCATCTGAATGAATGGCACACCACTAAAGCAATCTCTGTTATTAAAAAATTCCACAGCCAGCATGCAAAGCACTGATAACTCAGGTCTCCTTGCGTGCTTAGGAATCACTGCCAAGACGCACAGCTAATCTCGCAATCAGGTTACACTCAATTCATGCTTTCCACATCATGTTAGATGTTGGAAAGTCGCTCAGAGGAAGTGTTTGTTTATTATAACCGTAGAGAAAGACATGCTAAAAGGCTAAAAGCCATTAGCTCAGTCTAACGTCTTTGTTCTAGTCCATCCTCTGGGCTCACATTCCTGGCAGGGTTGAATGGCAGTGTACATGGTATTAGCTATTGTTAAAGGGCTGGCCTGGTGACCACCCGTTCTCTTGGGGACGAGAACAATGACGGCAGTTTACAATGGAGCCACGCATCTGATGTAATGTTTGAACGTCAGTGGTGTGATCGCTTTCACTTGCCACACAACCTCAGGACAGGTGCGGCAGGTTTAAATTGCCACCAACTGTCTTGTGTTACATTGTGCTACTGTTTCGTCAAGAAGTGAACCAACTGATCTGTCCGTATTTATCCTGAGTCATTGGCTCAAAGCTAACCCACACAAGAGATCCCCTGACCACACAGTCACCACACAACTCATCATTAAAGCAATACTGAGTAATCCATCCTTTACTCCACCCTGCCCTCTATCAATTCATTTCCTCCAGCTCCTCCAGTACCAAGAATCACATGCTCATTTTTTTCCTGGAGTAGTACAGTAGTCTCACTGAAGGACAAATGGGATGGGAATCAAGGACCTGTTCCAAATTGTCCAAACCATCACAATTGTTTGCCTCCAAGCCTATCAATTCCCTTTAACAATGCCAGCGTGTTTTTCTGACAATTGCGCGTTACAAACCAGTGACCTTAAACTCATCTACGCTGCTGGAAACTTGGAACAAAAAGGAGTCATGGTGGAGAGGAAGAAACGGTCCAAAGCATGGCTTCAATTCACAAAGAAAGATCACAACAGTGCTGCTTGTAATGTCTGTAAAATGATCATTTCAAGAAAGACGTTA